AAAAAAAATACCATCCAACTTTCCCCATCTCTTTTTTTTTTTTTTTTTGCACTCGTCTGAATCGCACGATTTTTATCCCTAAATCCATGTTTACGGTCACCATTTTTATTTTTATGAAATTATATTTATTAAGAGCTTAGTTCTTGGATCTCCAAAATGAATCGCTGGGGAAACCAAATGGCCTGATGTGAAAAATGAAAGTCCAATCGAACAGCTCAACAAGTGAAGACAAATCCTTGAGTGGATTTGATGCGGAAAATACAATACACCTTTTGTATTGCTACAGAAATGTAATTATTTGTTGTAACAACAAAAAAACCGAACTGAGATTACGCTCGGGGTGGGTGGGCATTGATCAGCATAATGGCTGTTGACGAATTATACTGACTATGATGTTACTCGGTCTATCGTTTGCCTTATGGAAGAAGGCGGATAGACAACCTTAAAGGTTTCCGCATTTGCCTCTCCCCCGGGTGACTGATCAACATTGCAGGTCTTGTTGATGCTTTTGTTCCTTATGACAGTATCTTTTCAATATATATTTTTTATATTGTCGGAGCAGACGTTAAATGACCTTTCATGGCCCTCCCATTCAAATGCGGTCATTCGATTTTCTTTTCAAGTGGGTTAATGATGCAATCGTATTTCCATATATAAAAGTGACACGTGTGTTTTTAGCCACACACTGTTGACCCCTGCACAATACATGGAAAGTTGTCATGCAGAACTACTTAAATTTATACTTTGTGATAACTTGATTTTGTTTTTCTTTCCAGATAAGTTACAGTGTTGTAACGGTGTGATCCTTTTTTAATGCATATTAAAAAAAAAAAAAGAAAAAAAAATGTTTGCAAACAAAGGATATTTGTTTTTAGAGCTTTTGTAAATAAAGGCTTAAAAGATATTTTTATGTGGTCAGTCCTTTCCGTGAGACTGCTGGATATTGTCATGTAGATGTTCATTCTCCTTTTACTCGCTGATACTGCTCCTGAGTACCTAGTGTAAGATATGTTTGCTTTGTCTTCTCCTTCCTGCAGTTGTCAGGATGCTGGCACAATACATTTGGATGTTTATGAAGGTCGCCTGAGCCCACAATAATGATAAATCTGTGTGTCCTTTGTAAAACACATCTGACACCAGAACTACAAATAGAGCGTGATCAGCATGCTGGAAGTAAGCAAGCAAAGTCCGACTTCTGACATGCTGAGTATTCTCGATTTTTAAAAAAATGTTACTACCATAGCCTGTGCCCATTTCTTCCGGGTGGATGATGATCAGGTGCACGACAGATTGTTTAATGACTGACACAGAGCGGACTATTCAGTAAAGGTGCCCATACACCTTACAACCATCGCAAGACTTATGTCTTGCGATGGTTGTAAGCTAATTAAAAGCTCGTACGATCTGCCCATCTTGGACATGTACTTGCGATGACTGCAATGAGGGGCGGGCTTTCGATGACTGCAAACGAGCAGTGTGCGCGTGCACACACCGGCCCATTCCGCAGTTGTCGAACAAGCAGGCCACTAACCCGCCGAGAATCGTACGATTCTCGGCAGGTTTTCAAGCCTGCTTGTTCAACGGAAGACGTGCGACCGTACAGTAGAAACAGTCCCACGCCTTCCATACACTTTGCGATTATCGTACGATCGTGGGATTTCCCGCGATTCTCGTACAATAATCGTACAGTGTATGGGCACCCTTAGCCAGCAAAATCTAATGCCTATATTGTCACTTTTCATCTATGTAATTTGCCATTGGATAATAGGTCTAGGTTCAGCAACATTGTGTGCCCAAAAACTGAGCTCAGCTGCCGACCTGAATATACTGAATGATCAGGTATTTCCATCAATTCATTATTTCTTCCCTGATGAGCGTATTCCAAGAAGACAATGTCAGGATTCATTAGTAGAGCTGCAGCTAACGATTATTTTCAAAATCGATTAGTTAGCCGATTATTAAGTTCGATTAATCGGATAAATAAAATACATTTGTAAAAATGGCTCCAGTGATGGGACTACTAGTTTGTATTGAGATTGCACTCCATCAAGGGAGCAAGCTTGGAGCAGTAGAGCGTGGATGCGGGCGGGCGGGTCTGGCAGCGGTGAACGTGAGGTGGGGAGGAGGTGCGGCGCGCAGCGTGTGTGGAGCCGTGAACAGGGCCAACTGATCGGAAGCCGATTAATCGATTATTGAAAAAGTTGACAACTTTTTCAATAATCGATTATGTCGATTAGTTGTTGCAGCCCTATTCATTAGGCTCAAATTGTGAAAGAATGGTTCAGGTAGCTTGAGACATCTTATTCACACATGGATTGGTCACCAGAGTCCAGACCTTAACCCCATTGAGAATCTTTGGAATGTGCTGGAGAAGACTTTATACAGTGGTCTGACTCTCCCATCATCACTACAAGATCTTGGTGAAAAATGAATGCAACTCTGGATGGAAATAAATGTTGTGACATTGCATAAGCTTATCGAGACGATGCCGCAGCGAATGTGTGCCGTAATCAAAGGTAAAGGTGGTCCAACAAAATATTTAGAGTGTTTTTGAACAGGCAGTGTACATCCTATGTGTCATGTACACATCCCTCATGTAATATAGTGCACAAATACTGCTTGCATCAACATGGTATGTGTTCCTGTATATATGTTTATATGTTTTTCTCTAATGATGTGGCCTTAGGGTGTGGGGCTATGCTTTGCACTCACAGAAAGTAGATTGAATGGCACAGGACATCATTCACCCTGAAAGAGGACTGACGCTGCACCATAGAGTATTGTGTCTTATTGGGGCAGCACTGGACCGGAGAGTTGGGCTTTTAGTATAAAAGTATTACATTTGTATTTCCTAAAAATGTATTCACTGCTGATCATATTTTGTATCAATACACTCTTTCCCCATCCCTGTGCCATGACAATATTTCCATTGCTTTCATAAAGCAAACCACTTGCCTCCACTTTCTAGTTTATAATGGAAAACACCATGATTCAGGAACACAACCACTTTTTTGGGGCATTATGCAATCTTCTGGAAAAAAAACAACAAACTTATAGGATATGGTTTTCTGGCTTACTTGGGGTTCACATTGCTGTTTTCAGCAGGGCTCCATTGCCAGCAGCAAAGACTTGGTGTTACACCTACTGCTACCTCTGCACGGTAATTGTTACGGTAGATAAAGGGGTTACACTGCTATGTGTCACTTGTGTTGCAAAAGTTTCTGTTCTACAAGGGAGAACCAAACAATAAAGGCGTAATACATTTTACAGCTTTAAAAGAAGTAACTGATCACTTGAACATATCATTTTTCCACATCGTCCTTATGCAAGAAGATGCACTTGTTGTATCTTTCAACTAGCTTCTGTATTCCTGCAGAGAAGAAGCTTTGCGGCTGCTACTGAAGCCAAGGTGTACACTGCTTCCTTTACTTCATATTACGGTAGGTGAATCTGCGACTGTGGTGTGTCTCCTTCTTTTTGCTCATTACCGGTGACAATTCTCTCCAGAATACCCCGATTTTCTTCATACTGTCTCAAGAACTGGTCCACACGCTGTTGCTTGTGCAGAGCAGTAAGAACAAATCATGTGTAGACTTTCCTGATTCATGGTGCTA